ACATTGATGCTTTTCTCATAGAAATGGGAGAGGTGAGTGAAGTGCTCCTTGTCTGTTGTCTACATTTCTAATAAAATGTGTGATTTGTTACCATGTAACACATTTTTGCTCCTCTCTCGCACTTATAGAAAGAGAACAAAGAATCTGGTTTTGATTTACAAAATCTGTGTTTTTGCGCTCTGGATCTTTTTGGTGCTGGAACTGAAACTACAACCACTACTTTACACTGGGGACTGCTTTACATGATCTACTACCCTGACATACAAGGTGTGTTTATGAATCACATCCACCTTTACTACATATTTTCTAATCAATTTGCCATCTCTTTATATTCTCAGGGGGTCCCTAAGAGATCATATGTATTGTGAGAGGATGCATGTAAGATGTGTAAACTTTCCCTGTAAGTCATCTATGCTGCACACAGACTCACATTGTTTCCTGTTTTCACTGTGCAGAGAGAGTCCAGGCTGAGATAGATGCTGTGGTTGGTTCATCCAGACAGCCCTCTATGAGTGACAGAGAAAAAATGCCCTATACTGATGCTGTCGTTCATGAGATTCAGAGAATGGCCAACATCATCCCCCTCAATTTGGCTCACATGACAAGCAAAGACACCACACTGGATAACTACGCAATCCCAAAGGTATACAGTCCATATGTTGTTTCCCAAGTGAGGTTTTTGTCATTTTTTGAAATGACCTATCCTTTTATCAGATAATTAAGAATGTTTTTAGACAGATTAAATGGAATAATAATAATCAAAACCAAAAACATGCTGGGAATTTGGGTATTTCACTTAAAATACTAAAAATCCTCCTTTATACGCCAACTCTAGAGGCGTATAAATATATAAATACATTATCTCAGGAACTTCTTTAAGTTTCTTGAAGATTTTTCACCTCTCATCTGAGAAGCTTCTGGTGGAGAGTCCCGGATTTAAGCCATATTAGGAATGTCCCTTAAGAGGGTCACTGACCCACTATTGATCACCTGCCTAATCACATGAGCCAAAGGTCTGAAGTACACTAGGATGAGGTGTTTGGAGAAGTCTCTCCTGAGTTTCTCTGATAAAGGGATGATAGGAGATGACAGTGCTGACAATGCTATTCTGTTTTCCTTCTGTTTCTCCCTAGTTGATGTCTGACCTTTTTTACAGTATCTTTGCTGATTCGATAACCACATGCTTTAAGAGCGTTCGTTACATCTATGTGCTCCTTCTCTCTCTCTTGTGGCTTGGAGGGAACATTTTCTGCCCCGTGTTGCAGGATCCTTCAAGAAACTTAGAGAAGTCCAGTCGCTTTTCCTTCCAAGTGCACTAGATTACCATAACCTGGATGACTGACAACCTTCACAGACATAAATACATTATATTGTCAAAAGTAATTACTTACTCATCCAAATCACTAAATCAAGGTCTTCCTGGCACTTTAATGGCCACAGGTGTATAAAATCAAGCACCTTAGCATGCAGACTGCTACTACAAACATTTGTGAAAGACTGGGAGCTCTCAGGACCTCAGTGAATTCCAGCGTGGTACCGTGATAGGATGTCACCTGTGTAACAGGTCCAGTCATGAAATTTCCTCATTACTAAATATTCCACAGTCAACTGTTAGTGGTGTTATAACAAAGTGGAACCAATTGGGAACGACGGCAACACAGCCATGATCACATAGTGGGGGCCAGCAGAGCACAGAGGTCATCAAATTTCTGCAGAGTCAAACAATCAATCACTACAGACCTCCAAACTTCACGTGGTTTTCAGATAAGACCAAGAGCAGTGCACAGAGAACTTGATGGAATAGAGCTGCAGCTGCAATCTTGACATCACCAAGAGCAAAGGAAACCCAACAGATGCACGCTGCGAAAAGCACGCTGCCACTGGACTCCAAAGCAATGGATACGTGTTCTCTGGGTTTGTCAGGTGCCAGCATTGTGCCAAGTGTAAAGTTTGGTGGAGGGGGAATTATGGTGTGGAGCTGTTTTTCAGGAGTTGAGCTCGCCCCCTTAGTTCCATTCAAAGGAACTCTTAATGCTTTAGCACACAAAGAAACTTTAGACAATTTCATGCTTCCAACATTGTGAGAACAGTTTGAGGTTGGATCCTTCCTGTTCCAACATGACTGTGCACCAGTGCACAAAACAAAGCCCATAAAGACACAGATGAGCAAGTTTGATGTGGAAGAACTTGATTGGCCTGCACACAGTCTGACCTATAGATAGAAAGCCTTTGGGATGAATTAGAGCAGAGATGGCAGGCCAGGCCTTCTCATCCAACATCAGTGTCTGACCTCACAAATGTGCTTGTAGAAGAATGGTCAATAATTCCCATGAACACACCTTTAAACCTTCTGGAAAGTCTTCTGAGAAGTGTCCAAGCTGTTATAGCTGCAAAGGTTGGGCCAACATCATATTAAACTTTATGGATTAAAGACGGGATGTCACTCTACTGTAGCACAGGACGGCAAGTTCCAACATTCGAGGAGGGCTCGGGGTAGATTGCTACTCCTACCTGTCAAAAGGAGCCAGTTTAGGTGGTTCGGGCATCTGTAGGATCTGTAGTACTGAGTGATGTGTCTTAGGCATGCCCTGTCAGGAGAAGGCCTCGGGGTAGACCCAGGACAGACTGTAGAGATTATGGATGGATGGATAATTGTGTAATGTAACACAATAATCCATTTAATAGCCCTGCTCTTTAGTTATAGGAATTAGCTTCTTCCATGAGCTGATTTTCCACCAACTAGCAAATTAACACAATTAACAATTGCACATTTTATTATTTTTGACATTTTTCAGTTTCTAAATTCTTGAGAATTCTTGATTCTGTCCAAAACTTTGTTTCAAAACTTGCATTGGAAGCAAACTAGTAAAATCATTTACTTCAATTGTATTTTTTCAGGGTACCATAATCATAACTTTACTGCACTCGGTCCTGTGTGATGAATCGATGTGGGAAACTCCACACACCTTCAACCCTCAACATTTTCTGGACCAGGATGGTAAATTCAGGAAGAGAGAAGCCTTTATGCCTTTCGCTGCAGGTTAGTCAGTAGTTACTCCACATATCCTGTACAGTTGCATGTTTTTTATGGGTATGTGTTTACAGGGGCACTATAAAACGTTATAGCTTCATGGAACACCAGAAAGGGTTCAGATAGGAAGCAAAACACCAGTTTTCCCACAAAGACTCTGATCTGTTGAAGACCTTCCCTGATTGAAGTGCATATGCATATGCAAATTTCATAGCATTAAACTTTAACCTGCCGGGTCCCTAGTACAAAAAGTGTGCATTTTTTTTGTGTGCTGGCACCCTTCTTCTAAATAAAGAAGAGTATTTCCAGTAATGTGTCCCGTTGTGTGCTACACATGAGATATGGCAAGTTTAGCCAGTGTCCTGAAATGCTTTTCCCAACATTTTACAGACTTCATGTGTGAAAATAAGTTTTGCATGCTAGGTTTGCTTTCCCAGAACTACAAAAATATCTGTGAATTAAGGTGAATGTCCTTGTGAATGAAATCACTCAACTTCTGGTGTATTCGTAGGTAAGCGCGTGTGTCTTGGGGAACAGCTGGCCAGGATGGAGTTATTCCTGTTCTTTACCTCCCTCCTCCAGAGATTTTCATTCACTGCACCTGCTGGAGAGCAGCCCAGTCTGGAGTTCAAGTTGGGAGTAACTCGGGCCCCCAAACCTTATCGCCTCTGTGCTGTACCACGATAAAGCAATAAATGGCACATAAAATGCCATGTTTCTTTGCATGTATCTTTATCTATCTCAAATTTGAGGGTATAGTTTATTCAGGAAGGAGGGCTTTCTGCAATCTAAAATATTCAAGTGTGCAAAAATAAATAAAACAAACTCCTTAAAAGAAATCACTGGTATGCAATTTCCTGCAGTCGCTTCCTCTGCACATTGTCTTTGTAGTTAAAACGCGACGTGCTTGAATAAACTGTATGTTTCTCATTCAGACCGCTATTTGTTAAATTTCATACTGTGGTTTTATTCTGAGGTTTGGAAGTTGAAAAAAAAACACAACGCGCCGCTCTTTACTGTCGCTCTCTTAAAATCACTGTAGTTTAAAGATTGATTGTTTTAAAAAAAAAAAAGTTCTGTGGAGCATAAAGTTTATGTGAAAGAAAATGAAATGTCAATAAAAGGTTGAATCATTTAAAAATTTGTGTATTTTTTATTTATAGTATTTGTGTTAAGAATACCAAATTTTGTCATGTCACTTGTGAAAAGTAACACTTTCAGAGAGTTTCTGAATTTGAACCATGAACATGAAGGAGTATTAATTCTGAAAACTGCCTTAAACCTCAAGCCACCTTTATCTCACGAACATGCACCCCGTCAAACTTCTGGGTTTTCCCTGTAAACCGTTTGAAGTTACAGATGGAAAATATCTTGTGAAAGAAAATCACAAAAGCCAAGATAGCTAGAGACTTTTAAACAGTTGAGGCTGAAGTACTTTGCGGGACTACAAACGCTAGCAAACGGGCTCAGTGAGAAAAGATGTTCGAGTGTAAATCGATTTCTCTAAAGAGTTCTCTGTAAGTTTCTTTTAAAAATTTTCTAGAACACATTTAAGATCCAGGTTGTGTTTAATCTCCATGTTACTGAGCAGTTTTCTGTTATGTCATTTTTTAAAATCTTTATAACCTTTATTATGTAAGTCTGTCCTTCAGCACATTTTGACTTATTGTGTCAAATAACCAAGTTGTCAGCGTGCTTTTCAAAGTAAAATGATTGATGTCACCGTGTCGCTTGCTCGGTTGACCACTGGATTATGTGCCAGCAGAAGCATGTTTAATGAGAGCAGATGCTGAGAACACTGATGTTTCAAGTCAACAGAATCGTTGTGGTGATGAAAAACAGGCAACAGAAGTAGGGCAACAAACTACTCAAAAAAAATGATCAAAGTTTCTGCATTTGCCAGAATACCACAAAACTAGGTCACTGGCCTCTTTAAGACATTTCACTCCCATGAAAGAGATCACTTTAGTCAGGTGCTCCTCACACAGCAAGTCGTCTGACGATCGATTCACAGCAAAAGCCTTTTTGGATGGTATCTTGATAAGAAAACCCAGACAGGATGGAGTTCTGGTGAGCGTTATCTCAATCTTTCGCCTATATGTCGAAAGTGATGGTATGTGCAGTCTTTGAGAGACAAAAACATACAGAGAAACACGTTACAGTCGTTGATCGCTAGGAGACTCTCCTTGTGGGATAATGCAGTTTTTTTTTTCTCTCCCTATTCCTGTCCTGTCTTTCAGGTTCTGCGTGCCGCAGGTGAGTAGCGATAAGGCTCGTTAGCCACCGGACCAAAACCAACGTGTCCCAACAGGCTGCTGGCAGCGAAAGAATTGAAAGTTAACATGCTTGACGTGAGGAAATACTTAATCTCAGTTCATCTCAGTTGTGTCAGCAGGATAGAACATTGACAGGAACGTGTTTTCTCTTATCTGCCACGGTGTTGTGACGCTTGTACTTGTTAATGTTATCAGCTTCAAGCTTGCACTGGAAAGGATGAGACATTCAGTTAAAAGCTCTTCCTCCTCCTCATGTTAGGCAGCTCACTCCAGTGCTCCCGCACGCAGATGACTGAGGTAGGCTTTGAAGATAATTTTGTGAAAGGAAATTTCTTTTAAGTGATTCATAAGAAGTAAGAAATTTGTCATTTTTCATTTTGTTTCCTAAAAAAACAACCTGTTTTTCTTCTCTTCTCATTTCTTTGTTCTTACAGCTGCTGAAGGGGTTCTTCGGGATTCAGAAAAATGAGCTGAGATGACTGTCTCCTCAGTCATTTCGAGATGTATTATTGTACTTCTTACTTTTTCTATCAATTGTGAGTGTTACAGGTTCCAGCTATTTAAAAAAACACACCGCCATTACTCTGTTTCTGCTTACTGAGATCCCTTATCACACTTTGGTAGCTCTTGTGGTTTTGAATTGTAACCCTTGCTTCGGCTTTTACCACAACTTCAACCCAAGTGTTTCAATAATTAAATTAGCAGATACATAGTCATGGAAAACACTTTTACTTTGTCTGTTCTTGGCATTCCTTCTTGCACAAAGAGGATTTTTTGGGATCTCCCACTCACACATTACAGCCAATGAATGTAACGATCCACTTGGTTTTTATAGTAAATGGGTTTTGCTATACACAATGTATTTATTGGCATGGTCTAAAATTCACTTTCTCGACTAATGCTGTGGGGAAAACTTCATGCATTTGTCTTTTCCGGACAGACTTCCCTCTTCTACCTGTTGGCTGCCAACGAGCGATCACTACCCAGTATACTGGGTACCTGGTTGTAGAGCCAGCTCCACTCTTTCTCATGGGCTCAAATCTGACGGTGTACTGCCACACCCATGAATGTGATTGGAGGTGGGAATCAGAACAATGCTACACAGTATTCTGCCATGCATGAAAATCTCCCTGCTGTGTTTGTAGCTATCAGCTTTATTGGCTCATATTTGATAACAGAAAATTAGTTTTTAGACTTCTTGTCCCTCTCCACCAGTTAGGAAATGATAATTAAAAGTTTTCTTTTTTACATGCAGAGCCAAGATATACATGGTGCTAAATGGCAAGCCTGTGGATAAATGGGAGAGAATCAACTGCACTACAGTGAAATTCTATCTGCCCAGCATATGGATCCCACTGTCTGCAGCGATCTGCAGTAATTATATGCATAGCGTTGTGAATGGAGTGGATCTACGAGCTGGCCGTATGTACAGTTTACAGCAGCTGCAAAAGAAAATTTGTGTGCAAGTGCAAAAAATAGAAAGAGAGAGTAAGACACAAATTTACAACACTGCCTATAAAAGTGGCATAATAGTAAGAAAATGCAGTGGGGTTGTAGGTAAACTTGGTTTGCAGCAGGCTAAATAAATCACAATTGTTGTTTTTTTGTTTTTCACTGCTGTCTGTTACGGCTGATGTTGTGCAGAACTTGGAGGCTGGGTTATTGGAACATAGTTTCTTTTTTATTTATTAATTTTTCTTGTAGAAGCTAACCAAACAGTACAAAATAAAAAAATTTTAAAAAGCAAAGTGAAAGGTAAACCCATGGGTACCTTGTAGTAATGGGAGCAGACGTGCTCAAACTTTAATTACTAAAATATATATTTTTAGGAGAAAGTATAAAATTATTGAAAATATGCATTTGCTAATATTTTACACTTTGAAATTTGTTTATAGAAGTGACACAGAAAGCAAATGACTAGTTTTCATTTTCCAGCAAATGTAAAAACTAAGGTCTGTTTTTTTTTGTTTCAATCATGCGCTTTTAAAGTGCCTCCAGATAAACCTGACACTATAACATGTGAAACAGCAAAGAGCTCATCCTTAATAAACTGCTCGTGGACGAGGGGGCAGGAAACGTACCTCCCTACTCTCTACAACATTTCTGTAAACAGGTATGGTGTTATGTTTTTGTTTTGTATTTTCTTGTTTATCCAAATCTCATGGTTTGATTTTTTTAATGTTTTATTTTTAGGGAAAATGAGAGTCAGAAACGTCTATTTCAAATCCAGGATGCTGACAAAATCACCATACCACGAAGCATGTTTGATGAAAACACTACATACCTGATCATTATCACTGCTTCCAACCACTTTGGAACATCACAGTCCGATCCAGTCGTCCTACGTGTGAAGGACATAGGTAAACCTGTGCTTCTGCAATACTTACACAGATCTTGAATTTGAATACTTGAATACCATTGAATGTTTTTTGTTCACTTGTTAATTTCATTCTCTTTCTTTTTTTTTATTAGAGTCATATGGTTTCTCGAGAAATGTGTCATCACCTGATGTATCATTTTTAGAAAGTTTTTTTTTATGGTCACAGTTTGACTAATTTGACCTTCTTATCAGCAAACTGTTTTTCTATTTGTGTAATATTTCTTTGAAGAGAAATTTACCTACGCCCTCGGATGAGCTCTGTCACTATTTCAGTAAACTTTAATTGCCCAGAATTTCTGTGCCATTACAGAATATGTAGCTGTTTCTGTCTCTATCATTTGTGAGCACTATATTTGGTTTCCTTTGTCTTGCAGTGATTCCCGATGCACCTATTATTATGCAGATACAGTTTCCGAGCAATTCCGTAGCAGCCACATTGCAATGGAAAAGCAATGAATCCTCGGTTTATCTCAGACCTCATGTCATGCTGCGCACAAACAACACTTCCTGGGTAAAGTTTTATTAACACTCCTCCAACAACTCTGTGGGGGGTTTTTACAGCAAAAGTCTTTATCTGGCACCATGAAGTTGATCTAATCTCTCAATGTTTTTAGGAAATGAGAGCGGGCGTGGAACTCGGTAAGAATCTGATACGGGTAGATAATCTAACACATCTGACTGAGTATGAGTTCCAGATGAAAATATGCAACACAGCGCCTGTGCCGACACATACCAACGCAAGTAGTATTAGCGCCAGAAAAGCATTGCTTTGCAGCAAATGGAGCCCGTCTGTGAGGAAGAAAAGCCCTGGAAAAGGCAAGCTCACTGTTCTTGCTTATCATAAGACAGATGCAATGTAAATGTGATGATATAAGAATTTGTTGTTTCTAATTCATAGCCCACAACTTATTGTCTACCCTCCCCTCAGGTCCATCCCAGCAGTTGCAAGTTTGGAGGAAGGTGGAGAGGCAGGGGACAGACGGCCAGAGGAACGTGACTGTTTTGTGGAAGGTAATAAGTTATGGCCACTCATGAGCCCTGGCTTTTGTTGTTATGCTGACAATTATGAATCCCAAACATCCATCAAATACAAGAAATGTTTTTTATAATGCATCAGTTTGGTTATAACACAGAAAGCCTTCACTGCTGATTGGTTAAAAGGAATCATTTATCATTTTGTAAATTGCAACCACTTGATTTGCTGCGCAGACCTTTTTGTTGTGCATTTTACATGAAAGAAAAAACTTTCTCTTGACAGCGACTTCCTGCACAATACCTGACCACAGAATAATCTAACACAAAGCCTGTCTTCTGGCAGCAGTAAGCAGCAGTAATTTCAATTTATACAGTAAAATGAAAGTGGTGTCAGACCTCTAATCTAACTTTTGGATAATAAGCAAGTAACTGTATTTCAGACTGGCAAACTATATTACTATATTACTAAAAATGAGTAATATAGGAGTGCAGGTAGAATTTCAATTTCATTTCAGTTCTAATTTTTTATCCATCACAGCAAAGTGCAAAGAAATATAACAGCCTCTTGGCTAACGCTAAACAAGGGACAATTGCAAACAGGAAATGCCATCCTCTGATCAGAGGTTTTACAGACACCAGCTAAATTATTTTACATAACACGCAACCCTAAAGAACTTAATCTGCAAATGACAAATGTAAATATTAAGTGATGACTGGATTTCTTTCCCAGCCTCTACCACAAGAGGATTTCAGTGGCAAGGTGATTGAGTATGACATCTTTCTGGATAATGGTCAGAAGCTTAAAACCTGTGCTGCCGAGTGCATCCAGTGTTCAGTTCAGCTACCAGCAGAGGTTAGCAGCCTGAGCATCAGTGCGGTCACCACATATGGAAAGTCGCCACCAGCTGATGTAATTCTCAGACAATCAGGTATAGCAATACTGCACACAGAAGATTAAAACAAAAGTACTGTTAAGTTGTGGAGAAAATGAGCACTAAATGCCTTCACTGTTCAGGTGTCCCTGGATCTCTTCTGATCAAATTTAGCCCTGCTGCTGATGGCAGTGCTGTGTTTCTTTCCTGGTCGTGGACAACAGGAAACTACCCATCGACACAGGAGGAAGAACTGCGGTATTACGTGATAGAAAGGACAAATGTATCTGGAGAAGGGCTGTGGTGGCAAACGTTGGCCAAAGATCTAAAGAGCACATCAATCACAGGTAGACTCGCCACTGAGCCACTAGGGAATCTGGCTGTCCACATACGAACAGCAAAATATTGCATCACATAAATGCAAATTTAAATCTATGAAATGATATAAAGACACCAGGGCTTTAAATGAGAGAAAACAGTGGCCTCTTGTGGCCATTTATTGTATTACACCAGCACAAGCACAGAATGCAGATGATAGTCTTTATATACCTTAGGTCTGTGTTTGTGAACTAATCTTCATATTTGCAAAATAAATAATATATTTTAATATAATGTAGTTTTTTCCTGGCTTTGCTTCAGGTTTGGCTCCAGGTGTGAGGTATAACATCTCTCTGTATGCTGTGACCACCAGAGGTGTCAGTGCTCCATCATCCATACTGCTCTACTCCAAAGAACAGAGTAACACTTCTTCAGATTTGTTTTTTAAGAGAAGTTTATTTCTACATTTTTGAAGGTTTTTTAAGCATGTGCTAGATTTTGTGAATCTATACCTGGGCTTCAGGAAACACTTACCGTACCCAACACGTAGTCTTTGCATCACTGTGTGTTTCAGAGCCACTTTCTGGTCCAAGCCTCTCTGTGCTGGCCCACGAGGCCCAACGCATCCAGATCCAGTGGGAGGAGCTGCCCGTATACCAGCAGAGGGGTTTCATCACAAAGTACAACATCTATTGCAAAACACCGGAATCCAAAGACAAAGAATTAAATAGTGAGTATCAAACTGTATATGCCAATTGATGGGATGGGCATTTTTTCACAATCAGCTGTTCGACGAAAAAACATCATATTAACTGATAAATTGAGAAACCGAAACAGACATTTATTGTAGCGGTAAGTGAAAATTGGTAGGTTGTCTATAAACATTAACGGGTCACCTTATTTATCCTTTTAAGGCGGTCCAAAATAAGTACCTGGCATGCTTTGGTGTGACAGAAAAAGTTTAGTTATATGAGCAGGCTGTTGCTTTAAAGAAAAAGTCTAACTTTTTTTTTTTAACACATGTTTTTCAGCTGCTTTTTCAGATCAGTATAAACACATGTTGATTTGCACTGAAGGTTTAGAGGAACCACAACTTTGCGCTGTGTTTCCTGTTCTTCTACATCACGAGCCCTGCCTTTTATGGAGCACATGTAGGCATACGTTTTGTGTCTGTATTCCACCTAGGTCAGACAAAGTCCTCCTGTGGGCGCACACGTGTGGGAAATTTATGTATGCAATAGTAAATTTATGTAAGCATAAATTGTGTCTCAGCAGAAGACTTGTGTTACAAAATGGAAAGTGTGCAACCAGGATTCCATCGATACTCCCCTCCCACAAAGATGCAGTGCATCAGCAGGGTTTTTCACCTCTCGCTTCCAGTAATGTCATGAATTTGAAATGTTAAACTGCTGCATGTGGATTATGTAGCTATTATGTTAAAAATACTTTTTCAAAAAAAGCTAAAAGGAGGGGACAGCATCACTGTCTAACATGACAAGAGACCTTTTTGGTAGTTTTCTCTGAAGTCCTACGCATTTTGTATCTATCTTAGATCACCTTGGTGATTGATTGTGTATGCCGAGATCTCACCTAAGAAAAAACAGTTGTTTGTCGTCATTTTCACAGAGTCTTCAGAGTTTTCTAGAACTGGCTTTGACCACAAACAGGAAGCCATGTGGCTATGTGCACAAATGCATCCGTAAACACAGTTACAAACCAGCCTGCTTTGTGCACTATTTTTGGAATGTCAGCTTTAAAGCACCTGAGAGCACACATTCTGCTCTCTCAAATGTGCTACGTGCAGATACTAACTATCAGTGTTCTTTGAGGTATTTCAGATAATTACTTCAGTGATCCACTTTTGTCTTATGCCATTTTGCTCCATTACTCATATACTGTGCCAAAATATAACCTGCAGCCAGATCATGCTAAAATCTTTTATTGGTAGTTAATCCTCTTACACTGCACTGAAAGTTGCAGCTTACAAGAGAAAGTCATGTGGAAACTGGTGAGATCTTTGCACTCAGAGACAGTCATGATCTGACTCAATATTCACTATCTCTGTTTGATAGAAACGTTTAACTGCAAATGATCTGCACAAACACACCAATACATGAGTGGAAAAATACTGGTTAGAAAAAGTTTGAGGATTGTGGCTTTAACAGAGGAAAAAGGATCAGACTGACGTTTGGCCAATGAAGTCCTTGACAAGTGAAAGAGTCTCTTTGTTACAGATTTATCTTGTTTTTCCTTCATTTTCTGTTTTGCAATAATGTGCAAAAGTCTTGAGCCAACCCTCATTTCTCTCTTTTTTCTTGGAAAAATGAGAAATAGGTGCTGTGGCTTATTAATTCTTTATTCTTCAGCACAGCCTGAACTCTGTTAGAGAGCTTTATGGCAAGTAGTTTTCAGGTGCAGTTCTTGAAGCGTTTTGAAGGGCATTCAAAGCTCTTCTTTGAGTGTTTTGTGCCTTTTGTTCCGCTCTCTGTCAAGATGATCCCGCACTGCTTCAGTAACGTTAAGGTTGGGGTTATGGGAAGGCCAAATCATGACTGATAGTGTTGTAGTTTGTAAAAAAACTAAAACAAAAACCTGCTGTATATATTCAAGCTCAAGCTGGGCAAATTAAGCTAGCCACAGGCCTACCAGTCAACTATGGACAAATGATGTGGTTATTGCTATTTATTTTTATGTGCAATCAACACTTATGGGGACGTCATCAGTTTAATACACAAGGTCTGGCTAGACCACTAATCAAAACTGGTGTTTCAACAGAACTGAAAGTACTAGGGTGGCAAATTCCCCAACAGTAATCGAACCTGAAAATAAATGTTTACTCATAAGAAGTGTATTTTTTCCCAAAAACCAGGAAATTATTTTCACCAGTATCCATTGTTACAAGTGTACAGTCAGCAATCCACAGACACCCGCTTCCCAGAAAGCGCTGGTGCATCAGAACCATTTTTAACCTCAGTAGTTCAGCAGAGCCAAGCAGGTTTCAAGCAGCACATAGGCCACACATCCTATGATCATGCTTGTTGACAGTAGGCTGGAGGACACTGACTAAAACCCCCAACTGATATGTTATCTTTACAAGAGGACGAGGCCAGGGAAGTAGTGAAGAAACAGAGGGATCGTCCATCTCATGCAAAAGAAGACATGTTGATGTTCAAATAGCAGCATTATGCCGGTCTTCTTCTTAAGGCTACCTTAAAAATATTGTGCTTGCTTAAAAAAAGAAATATCTCTCATTTGCTTCTCTACACAGAGACTGTGTCTGCACCTGGTCCAAGGCAGGAGTGGTTGAACTGTCCTGAAGGAACTGTGGTTCTGCAAATGACTGCATCCAACTCAGCAGGAGAAGGACCGCGAGGGCGCCGGATCTACTCTGAGGCTGCAGCTCCTCCAGGTCAATATTCTATTGCCACAAATACTAAAACATATTTAGGCTTTTAACTCTCCTTTTGTATTTTGAGGACAACTAACATCAAAATAATATTATTTTCATAACTCCTTTACAACTTGTCTGCTAAAAGAAAAAGTGTTGTCTTTCTTTTCTTGTCTCCTGTAGTTGGCCTGGTGGTTGTGTGTGTTTTCATCGTTGCTATCTTCATTGCGATCATAGCCAACCTGATGTGCTGGAGATGCGTGAGGGAAAGGTATTAATCATTTATGCTCGAAATGAACAATTAAGCTCAAAACAACTGTTGTCCGACAGACACAAAACAAAACCTAACAGCCAAAGTATTTCTAAGGATACCACATCAGGACCTTAAGTTTTGTTTTACTAGTAACAGCGATGGATGCCATTGTGGTCGGCTTTATTAAAATGCCACACCGCAACATGAACAGATGAACAAGAAGCCACAGATTTAACACGAAGAGAAACTTAAACCAACACGTGTAGCCTACTAAATGTGGTCAAAGCACCCTTTCCCAATCTGGTGGTTTTACCTGCGGAGAGACTGATTTTGATTTGCAGTAGTAGACAGCTGTAGTAATACACGCATGCATCAGTTATATTGTCTAGTACCTCAGAGGCACAATAAGGAGGTTTTGTTGTAGCGTTTTAATCAAAAACTGAAAATCTAACTGTTTTCTGTCTTAGGATCAAACAGAAATGTATATCCTGGGGACCTGCCTGGCTAGTTGAAAACTTGCCAAAACCTGGACACAGTAATGCCATCAGACTATTGGAGGTAAACAAAGCAAGCATGTCCACTGAGATGACATTCATGCTCATCAGCCATACACTGTACATAAAAAATGAATATAGCTACTATAACATGAAATTTTGGTTTGTGAATTCTGCATTTTAAAGCATCATGATACGCTTTAAAATATAACATTTCCAAAGTAGAATTACTGTGGCGATCACTTTAGTCTCTTTGTGCCGTTTTTCGTCTCTGCTTTGTGCTTTTGGCTTAGCTAAATCCTAAGAGAAAGATCATAGAAAGTTCATATCTTCATTAGGATAGGGATTTATAATAGTGTGTTGGACTATAGTAGGCAACCATCCCAACACTGATCACAACAAAGAGAGGAAATGCCTCCCACACACACAAGCATTTCACACAGCGTGCAGTCAGTTTGCATGAATGCATTTGATAGGCTGTTAGCATTTGTGGAGCCAATGAGAATCAACAAGTGATCAAATCGATAACTGATATCAATAATGGAATTAGAATCTCCACATTTTTCATTGTTCCCATTCCTAGTTCCAAGTAACGTAGCACTGGAGTCTAATAGTGTTAACTCACTTCTGATGCCAGCCTTAGCGGATGCTCCCAATTCCAGGAACTGCAGTTGTTGACCCTTGGCACGTATTGGCTTCATTTTTCAGCCAAGGAGACTACATCTTACTGTCAGCATAATGACCAAAAGAGAAACAACTAGCAAATGAAACAACTCCACCAGTGCCAGCAAAACAAAGAAATCAATTTGCCAGTTTTGAGCTACACTAAAAATAGCCTACTATTAGTTTCTAGACATTGCTAGCCTGAACTATCGTAGGAAGTCAATGCTACTTCCTGCTTTCGTTCTGAGAGATTTAGATACTTTGTCTTGATGACACACATAACTCTGAAACAATTGCATTGTATTTATCTCTCTAGATCTAAGTATGGATTTGATTTGTTTGTTTTGTGGTCCACAGCACGATGGAGTCGAACCATTATTCTCGTGCACCCACAATGACCCTCCACTGTCCCCCATCACTGTCATCTCCCAGGAGGAGAGGGATGAAATCTACCCCAACATCCATGTTGAAGAGTCCCAGATTGGATCAGGACCACTCACAGTGAAAACACCTTTCCTGATGTCAGATACTGAGAAAATGCTTGTTGACAGAAGGCTCGAGCATGTTTGCTACAAACCCCAGATTGGCATGATGACTTCAGAAGAAGAGGAGGTGAATGAAGTGGAGGAGAAGCAGATGGACGCTCCATTAAATGGGGAGGACGGCAGTTGTTCAAGTGTGTTTGAAGGATTACTGAGTGGCTTGTTGTTGAGTGTGGATGTGAATTCCTCTTATTCATCTCGGGAACGTACTCACGGCTTTTTGAATGATCGTCTGAGGCCTAAACCTCCTGAACCAAGCACAATATCTAGAGGCTTTCAGTTCTTACAACAACATAGAGGGACTGTGGATGAAGTAGAAACAGACTCTCCATCTCTGGACTTGCCACAGGATGAGATTATGACTCCTGACACAGCAGACCCCAGCTTGTCTCAATGTACTGGTGAGATAATACTGTTTGGCGGTTACTTCCCTCAGATTGCTGCCGTCAGCAGTGATCAACTGTAGCATGGACGATGGGGACAACACAAAGAAAAAAAGATAAACCTGCACTACAAAGAAAGCATTATCAAACCACCTTATCGCTTGAAATGATGATTTCAGTAACTTTGTGCGATCAGAATGAAAATCTGCCTGAAATTGTTGTCAAAAACAAATTCATGAAATAAATTTAAAGCAAAAAAAAACTTTATCAAGTTTGCTGAATGTCAAACATCAGAGTGACCTGATGGCAGAATGGTTATGACCACATGAGGCCAAAACGTCTCCTGAATATATGAATAGATATAACACTACCCCTCCAAAAATGCTAACAGTGGAGCACACTCATACATAAACAACTTTCTTCCATGCAATTTGGACTCATGGGATCATCGGTCTGTTGCAGGACTCATGCGTGGAGACGTGTTAGCCCAGGAGTCGATTTAAAATCACTACTGTGAAAGGAAGCCAGAGTACCTGGAGAGAAAACGCACATTCAGAAAGGCCCCAGCCTGGATTTGAAACTAAACTCTTCTTGCTATTTAAACAATGGTGCTAGCCACTGTACTGCTGTGCTTGTAAATAGCATCATAGAAAAATATTTTTAGTATTTAGTGATTCACATCTATCTAATTTGTTAAGAAAATGATTTATGTTTCCAAGAGAATTAAACCAGGTAACAAAAAAATAGCATCTCCTCTATTTCCACCATCCATCTTTTAGTGATGTTGTCATCTCTTTTAATCTTTACATTTATCTGGTAGATTGTTGTCAACTTTGGTAAAACAGATTGAAGGTGTAGACAAGATGTTTCCCACTTACTTAAAGAATGAGTTAAAAACTCATCCACTCACTGGAAGATCTGTCACTATAGAGACATTCATGGTTTCTCTGGATTGAACTGTAATATTTTGTTGATCCTCCGATAAGCATCATGAATTTCATGTTCTTGTGCCTGCCATAACATCTATGAGGTGGAGATGGTGGAGGATTTGCAGGCTGACATTAGCATTTAGCATTAGCATTCAAAACACTGTAAGTAAAGTCTCACAGAGATGCTAGCGTAGCTTGTTTTTATTATTAAGCTTGTTAAAGAATACCCAAAGAAACTGTAATCTGGGTCCAGATTTTAGACTAGACTGAGAGACTAGTGTCTCAAAAGCATACATGAAGCTTAGCTTACTGCAGTCTGTCGCCTGATCTTTTAGCTAACAGTGCCTGTAGTTATATTAACCTCATGATTTATTGATGTACAGAATTCAGTTTGAGGTATTTAGCAGTTAGACTCGACAGTCCATCACAGCAGGAAAGAATCCCAGCCGTGATAGGGATTCGGGTAGGACAACCCAGGAGTCTAGACAATGGTGGTGGAGATGAAGATGGAGGCTCGAGTGATGAGAGGCGGTATTGGGAAGAAGGTGGGTTGCACAAAGGTGGCTGCAAGGAAGAATGAGAGATGCCATTTAAAGTATGCAGAGTGAAGGAATAAGATTCATTTGCAATATCAGTTCTCTATTGCATCACAAAGAGTCAAGAGGAAGAAAAACACTTCCTATGAGCAAGCTTTTAGTAATTTCTTGCTCATAGGCTCATACATTGACCTGATTAATTACATGGTCATCCACTATCAACAGTATGTGACAATCACAAAAAAAGAGCCTGGAAATCAAACTGTGCTTGCTAATAAGCTAAAGATGAAACCACATCCAATTAATCAAGCAAAAAACAAAGTAATGTTATCAACTCTGATAGTGCCTTTATCCAGAAAAATCCAAATGCTTGCATCAGGTCAAACTCACACATTAGGGCGCGACCCCTGCATGTTTCTAAGTGCTGGCACCACACTTGGTGAGTAGAAAAGCAATGAGTGTGAAATTATTCCAAAACACACCCAGGCTAAAGCCTTCTGGGGCTTTCCCTCTGCAGTCGGTGGCTCACTGTCGGGTTTTGTGAACCTTCATTTCTACTCATACATGCACCACCTGCAGTTCAATACCATTTTTATCACTTCCTGAGAGCCGGCTCACTTCCTTAAAAGAAAATCAACATTTCACGACAGTCTCTCCTTTACTGACATACTACATTTTAGGAAGTCTCCAGGTTAGAGATATCTCGTTATTCTTGCTAAATTTAACCACTACAGGCATATCCATTCATCTTGAGTCTTGTGTTGTATTTCCGAAGAATGCGATGCCACATTGGAAAGTCCCCCATTGCACCACATGGAGATGTAACAGAGGGACTGAAAGACTTTGGGCTGCATGGAAAATCTGATAATGTAACTCGTTCTGAGAGCTTGTTGTGCTTTTGCAGGTCCTTCTTTTCAGGAGGTTCCCAAGCATCATCTAAACAGCAGCTCGAAGAGACGCCCCCCATAAGATAATAATCAATATTTGCACCTTTTATCGCATAATAAAGTTTTGCTGATCATTTATGCAATCATTGTCACGTGTTGTTTGTCCGTCTGAATATGCTAAACACCACAAAATGCCCCACCCAAATCATTTTTATATATATTTTTTTACTTTACAGTTAGTACTTTTGGTAATAACCGCAATAAAATAAAAATCGTGATTGAATGATTCGCTAAATCTTGGATGCACGTATTAGTAAAACAGACAAGTAGGCAGTGCTGATGTGCAGCCTGGGTGCGCACAGAAGCCTCTGTGGTTATCTGGCTTCAGTGATAATTTCTAAAGTAAAGGTAGACCAGTTTCAGGAGTTAGTTACCTCACATCAGGGGCGGCAGCCAGCCAACACGGAGTCTCCGCTCTCACGTTACCACCGCAGTGTGGACGCGCTCTCTCTCTAAATGAAGATGTTTAGGATCCGATACGAAGACGGCTAGAGCTACGAACAGCTTAGACGGTAACTAAAAGTTAAATTTGATGTTGAGATGTGATATTTGGGTGACTTTCAGGATCGTTTCTCCTGTTTTTAAACTACTATTGACTATATACTGTCCTCTGCTGCACTTGAACCATGCGTGAGATCACACTGACACTGGTACATGCCTCACAATGTATACATTTTATAAGTTACGACCTTATTGGCTGTATGAAGTGAACATTTCTAATCAATAATGTTATTTTGATTCCTCCCACCTCTACAGTCGCTGCATCGAAAGCATAAGAGATCGCAGGCATTTTTTTTACTTCTCCTTTTTAAGGCGAAGCAGCTCCCGTGGCAATGGAAGAGACACTTAGGCTGCTGTAAAGTTGCTGATGACTCGTGGCAACAATGTTGCAGTTACGGTCGGTCTTTGTCGCCGTTGCCGTGCTGGCCGTGCAGCTTTGCATTGGTAAGCTTAGATAAATGTGTGGATTCAGTTTTCTAACATATCTCTTATTTTCTCTTTATATATGTTGGTGATAAAAGTTCGATATCAGCAACACGATCAGTGGGTTTGTTTGGTGTGTTTTTTAAAGAAGTCTTAAAGGTAGTGATCTAGAATCTTTCCCATTGTCCGTCCTTTGTGAACCTTGTATGTGATAGTTTATATATGATAACTAATGTGATAACTGATATCACGAAGAATATGCCTAGAAGAAGAACGTGTGGACAGTGTTTTTGTGTGCAAATGTGAAGATTGACATTTGAAATTATATTTAAATCAGATTTTCACATAATCCAGATTAGCAGTTAATGTTTGGCTGTTTCTGCAGGTTCCTATGAGCCAAATTTGGCCTTGACTAAAGACATTGACTCAGACTGGCCCATCTTACATGAGCCAAGTGTCAGGCATAGCCCCAATTAACCCCAAATGTATCTGCCATCTGGGATATAACTTTTTTCACACACACACACACACACACACACACACACACACACACACACACACACATATATATATATATATATATATGTATGATCATGTTATTACAGTCTGTAAGCTGTTCTTTCTGTTTTAGGTGACAAATCCTGCGTCATCAGGTCGAGTACTGACTCTGTAGTGCAGCTAGGCTCCAGTTTTGAGGTGTTCTGCATCTTTAACCTGATGTGTACGGGTTCCATGTACAGTGGCCAAGGTCCCACAAAGCAGAAACACAAAGCACTGAATTCTACAACCATACATTTTAAGGTGGTGAACATAACAGAGAACAGAACATACAGCTGTCACTGTGAGAACCGTAAAGATCTGGACCCCTGTGGACTTGACATCTCAGCTGGATGTGAGTATTCAGTGAGCATGAAAGTCCCCTCTACTGAGACTTTTAGCCCAGGTTCATGGATTTTAGGCTCTCTATTTCTAATTAGAAAAAGCCAACAGATTGATGTTGAATAGACTGAAAAGTCCTGAGCGATGCTCTGCAGGGCAGGACTTGTCTTTCAGCTTGAGAACTTTTTATTTTAGGGTATGTTTAGCACTTCTAAGTTACAAAAGCTGTCAAAGGGTCATTTGGTTCTGCTTTTTTGTCTTTACATAATGTACACTCTGGTTGCATGTTAAGGAGTGAGCACAGCTAAGTGTCAAAGTTAGCTATGATAAGTTGCTTATTTACTCTATATAGGATTTGCTAACTCAAGTGTGAAAATAAACTATTTTTGGTTGTTGTTGCTGTTTCTGACAAATGCAGCTTGACATAAAAAGACAAATTACTACTTTTAGTATTGTTTATGCTTTAGCTCTCCGCTCAGTACTCAGTTGAGTATTTTCTCTGTCTTCTTTGATCTCCAGACCTACCAGATCGCCCTAAAAACATTTCATGCATCTACAAAATCGTAAAGAATGAAAGTGGAGTTGTGGTCTGCATTTGGAACAGAGGACGGGACACTAATCTTCGAAACAGTTCAGCGCTTTGGTGAGTCACCACCATACTGCTATAAAAACAAATATTCTGCTTGTCAGTTTTGCCTTTAAAACACATCAATAACAGTTTATTCTGTCAACTGAAACTTTCAGGGTGAAGGGGGTCTCTGGAAGTCACTCAGATGGATCAACGTCATACAAAGTCTCCGATAAGGGAACCGAGTTGCTGTCGGTGAATTTCACTGTCTCCAGATCAGTCGAGCTCATCTCAGTGTGGGTTCAAACTGAAAACCCACTGGGTTCTGCAAACTCGTCCATCATTAACTACACACTCAGTAAAATTGGTAAGACTCATATAAGTTACCATCAACTGGAGACCAATGACTCCAGAGATGAAACTTGTGGGAAAAAAAAGAAAAAAAAAAGCAAGAAAAGATTTTCAGGTTGACTGAAGGGTATGACAACGTAATGATGCTGTGGGTAGAATTTCACGCCAACTCTGCAGTGGAAACTGTTCTATACTTCAATCTTGAAGTTTATGGTTACTGATGATCACCCATGCTCTTTTCCAAATCCTGCCAATAATAATCCAGAGGAATCCCAGAAAGATGATTCTGCTCACACCGATGTTACGTTTTTAGCTCGGGAAACGTTTCGTCACTCATTTAACGGATGAGGGATGAAACACCTTTCCCACTGAAAACGCAACATCCAGATGGATTTCCTTACACGCTGGATGGAGCATGCATCAAGACAATACATATATGGCAAATATTAGGAACCTGTTTTGTTTTAGTGCTGTACAAAATGTTTGATTTTGTCATTTATGTGACCACTTTGCGTTGATCCGAACAGTGATGCCGTCGACTCCCGTTCTCGGCAAGCCAGAGTGCTACTCCCGGAAGTGCATCATGAAAGTGGAGCAGCCTGTGAGGACTCAGCACTTGGAGATCCAGTACAGGGCAGAAAAGCAGACATGGACAACTTATCAGGACTCAGTAAGACATTTTAACTCTTCAGAGTTTGAGAATTTAGGGACTTTCAGTGAGAAAAGTAGAAGTCAGAGATATCACATGAACCTTTGAAGATATACAGTTAGACCAAATAGGTCTGTTACTGATTCAGATCGAGAGGCATATATGAGTAGCAGGACTGATATGAGTATAAGTGAATTGACAATGATGCTCAAGTCGTAAAAACAAGCTGGAATTTGTCCTTTTATCTTCTCTCAGGTGTTCTTACAATGGGTTAATTCACGGATCACTTCCACATGCAAAACTCCTATCTATATGGCAATCTGAGGTTATATAACTGAAAAATATGTATTTATTATTAACTTACAGGTTGTGCAGATGAATTCCTCCCACTGGTCCATCTCTTCTCTGGAGCCCTACAGGTTGTACCATTTCAGAGCCAGATCTAAATTCAGCACCGGCCTGTGGAGTGAGTGGAGCACAAACATTTACGCATGGACTCAAGAGGAACGTAAGTACTCATGTGTTAACCTGCAGCTCCGGAAGGCTGTTTTAAGGTCTGCCTTTGCGTATTATGAAGCACTTCCTGACACTACACATTCTGTCTAGAGACGGATAATAAGGTACAGATACAGTATATCTGTGGCGCTTTATCTGTGCAGACCATCAGATAATACAATTGTGCTTCCTCTCGGTTTCTGAGGCACTTATCTGCTCACCACTGGCTGAGCCACTGAAATGGGTCTTACTGTGCTGAGAACAAAAGCAGCTACTTCCAATACGATGTATGCATGTTTTCTTAAATTGCTAATTTAATAAATATCTTCAGGAAATATTTATTGAGTGTAATTATAAACAAGTTCAATAGTGAGGCACAGGGAAGAAAGGTGAAGCTGTGAAGAAGACTGTGATGCTTTATGGGAAGTATCGCTGCATTTTTTTAATACTGATGGTGTGAAGATATGCAGGCCTCTGTACATATATGTAAAACTATGAATGTACAGCAGTGACAGATCATCATTTTCCATGAACGTCAGTTTGACAGAAAGGTGAAGCAACGTTTGTGAAGAGTGTCTTGCGCGCCTTCTTCGAGCGTGTGTGCATCAAACACGTTAATTGCAGTTTGTCTTTCTTCCTCATTTTTCTGGACAGCAACGTGCTCTCTGGAGCTCTGAAGAAGGCTATTTTAACTACAAACATTAAATGACCACAGATGATTAATATCATGACGTCAAAGGCACAATGAAAATCAGCTTAGAGAGAAACATGACCCAATATGTTGCCTTTTCTTGTGAAAGTGGATCATTTCATAGGTGTTTTCATTTTTGCACTAGGCAGTGCTGTGATATCCTTTTTTGTGGTTGGTATCTGTATTTGAAAATATAAACACTCTGAATAGAAACAACTGAAACTGGCATTTAAAAAGTTGCAAGCGGCCAACCCTGAAATCTCATTTTACAACAGCACTTGAACTCATCAACAGGGAACCATTGTGACCATGTGACTGCTGTGTGTTATCATTAATACTTAAATTTTCCTTCTTTTGAGAAATTACTGGAAGTGAAAGAAAGTAATAACTGGCAGTGCACTTTGGAAGAGGGTTGACGCTAGCATACATGCGTCTTCTAGGAGGCAATGTACAAAGCACTCCCTCTAACCTCATTTACATTTATTTTACCACATCTTCCTACATTTGTACACAAATGACAGATGGAA